AATTTGTTGCTTTTTTGAGTCCGCTTTGGTAGATTTAGCTGGTTTAATCTTTGAATCAGTTTGAGTCGATGATGATGTTTCTCTTTGTTTTCCTGATGGTTGATTTGAGCTATTGTCTGAATATAATGCACTAGGTACCACTTCAGATAATGTTTTTGGGTGTTCTGATGTTTCCCAAGTCAGATCTGTTTGGCAAGGAATTGATGCCGTTACTTTTTTGGCTACAGAAGCATACGACGGATGATTGATGGTTTCAGGTGTGAGTAAACGAGCTTGTTTTCGGGCCTCAGCATAGCTGACTCTTTTCTCACATTTCAGTTTTTGAACAGTGGCCTCATACTTCCACACTGAGCATTCCTATGATGAAGCCATGTGGTTGCCATTACAATGCAAACACTTGATTGTGTTAGTGCATGTCTTACCGTCATGATCTGATTCTCCACATCTGTAACAAGTGAGCTTATTCCTGCAAGAATTTTGCCCATGACCAAACTTCTGACAAGTAAAACAACGTGTTGGTCGTGGAATGAAAAGTTCCACTCGCATCGCAAAACATCCGACTTTTAGAGAACTGGGTAGTACCGGGGTGTCAAAAGTTAATAGATATGTGTTCGATGGGAACACACGGTCATCTTTTCGAAAAGTGAAACGTTTTGCCTCTATGACACCTTGACATCTGAGTTCAGACACAATATCTTCAATGGATTCATTGGCAAGACTTCGGTCTCTATCTCGTATCAGACCTTTTGAGAAATTTAGGGTCTTGTGAGCAGAGCAGGTACTTGGAATATCAGCCAGTTTAGTTGAAGTCATGAGATTAATTGCTTGAGACTTCCTGGCACATTCAACCAAAAGTCCTCCTGAACGGAGCTTTGTCACATGTTTTAAATCTCCAGCTTTACCCTGAAGTCCTTTTTCCAAAAGAAATGGTGAATATGAAGTAAGGGTACGTTCACCCTTAGCTTCAATAACAAGAAAACGTGGCCAAGTATCCCTCTCGGAATAGAGTAACTTGTTCACAATTTCATCATCAGAAGAATCTAGTTCTGAATCTGATTCTGATAATTGCCGCTTTGGTTTTTTTTGGATTTAGTTTACCCATGGTTGTATTTATTGTGGTTCAGCATTCCTGCTCCCTGCCCTCCACGGAGCGCCAACAAGGGCGATGCCATACGTAAGTGGTATTCCAACAAACTAACACCAAAAGGATACAGGAATGTTATACTCCAGTGGAACCAAAGGATCAACCAGATTGGCCCATGAGCCACCGCCTTCTGGGTGTATGCTCTAGGCAAGTATGTTAAACACCTTTATGAACAGAAGACTATTCAAAATTGAGTATATTAAATAAGGACATGTAAAAAGTAATCACAGGGCTCGACATGACCAGCCGATTAGTTGAACAGGGCCCATTCAACCACCCGTCTAGGTGAAGTAAGGGGCGAAGTGGTGTGTTGGGCAAAGGAACACTGTTCCTGGAACCAGTGCCCTCAACCACCAGCCTCCCGTCCTCCACCGACACAGGGGCGCAACCCACGGCAAACGGGTTGGTGGACCTAATATCCCCCCGGGTCCACAACGGGTGTTTGAAGGGCGCTTAGCGTGACCCAGCACCCACCACGAGGAGGTGGCCCTTCATGGGTGCCAGATCTCTTATAGCAGCTGTTCAACTTCGGCGTCATATCACCACTAATTAAAGCACAATGGAACAACGTCAGCGAATGGAATCATTGTTCCATCCATAAGTGTTGAAAATTACACTAAATGTAAAAATGTTTGACTTATTTACTTTCAATGTTTTCTTTAAATGGTCATTACTAGCATATCATTTAGCTGATTTTATTCAATCTATTAAGATTGAATAAAATCACAATATACAACACGAAGTAAAAGTTTGTTATTGCACAAATTTATCATTGTCTTATCTTTAAAACCATCGTATGAGCTACAACCAAATCGAGAAAGTGTTATTTTAACTTTACATGTAAGAGATAAGGTCCTGCTTTTCTAAAATAAAGTGTACTATTCAGCTTTTTCTAGAATTGGGTAAACTGCCATGCCGTCTTGGGATGTACGTCTTTTAAGGCCCATGACAAACAGCTTATTAACATCTGCAGCGCGTATACGTGTTGTAACTAAATACACTTTTGCTGCGCAGAAGTTTGATATGAAGATTGGGACGATCGACCGTATCTGACATCCTGAAGCAGTCTGCTAAGTGGTTGAGCGTCTCTACGACTGATTCAAATGCTTCAAGAGCTAGAAAACCCCAGCAGGAGGATCTTGAAAAGGCCTTGTTTTTATGGTTTACCGATGTTAGAAGTAGGTCCATAAATGTGAATGATGAACTGTTAAGAGAGCAGGCTAAGATTCTAGGTGAGAAATTAGGGGGTTACTGACTGTGCCTACAGTAGTGGATGGGGAACCAGATTTAAGCAGCGACATGGAATTAAGACGCACAAAATTCATGATGAATCAGCCTCAGCCCCACAGAGTTCTGTAGACGCAGGTAGAGAAGAATTGCAGCAAATCCTGGCTGAATACAATCCGTGTGACGTCTACAACTGTGATGAAACCGGCTTGTTTTACAAAATTGAACCCAATACCACACTGAGCACTTGTCCTGTGTCTGGCAAGAAACAAGCAAAAGATCGTCTTACTGTTATGCTTGTGGTGAACGCATCAGTCACTGACAAACCTAAACCACTGGTAATATGGAAATTTAACAGGCCAAGATGTTTTGGTAGAACTTTTGATCCTAATTCTGTGTGTCACTGGTATGCAAACAAGAAGGCTTGGATGACAGCACTGATCTTCAAAGACTGGCTTGTGAAGTTTGATAGGCACATGCGCACACAGCGACGACAAGTGATATTGCTGATTGACAACGCCCCTTCCCATGCCTCCGTAGATCTCACCAACGTAACGCTTCACTATCTGCCTCCCAATACAACATCCCACACTCAGCCCCTAGATGCAGGAATAATAAAGAACTTGAAACTTCTCTACAAGAAGCAACAGATGAAACTTCATCTTGACAACGCCAGCGCAGACACGCCAGTACCACTTGATATCAAGCAAGCCCTACTGTTTATCCGATCAGCGTGGAGAGATGTGAAGCAGCTGACAATCATCAACTGCTGGCGTCATACAAAAATCCTGCCACATACTGACAGCCAGATCGAGCCCGATAATGAACCGACTGAAGACGTCCGAGATTTACAGGAAACGCTTGACAAGCTCTACCCAGATGCACCCGTACCTGTCAGCGAATTCATAGAATATGACGCAAATCTGCCATGTGAGGAAGCCATGACTGAAGATGAAATAATCGAGATTGTCCGACCTACTGCCGAAGAAGAAATCAACACTGAAGAAGACCAGACAACCGAGCCAGTCGTTCCCAAGCTATCTGAGGCCAAAACATCTTTGAACATTTTGCAGACATTTGTGACACACCACTTAGACGTGTTTGATGTGAATGACCTCGACTTCATTGACACTTTGAAAACTAAAATGCTGAAGACCTCAGAAAAAAATGAACAACAAAAAACCCTCAAAGACTATTTCAAGTTTTAAATTATTGTTCACCAGACATCCATATGTTAGTGTGGAACTAGTTGTATGTAAACAGTGACTCATTCAACATCCGGGTCATAATGGCTGCTGAGAGTGAAATAGCGCCGACTGGTAAAAACAAACGTGCGTTTTGTGCCAATGTGATTTTGGGGTCGTTCCAAATTACAGTATGTGCAGTCTGAACTGATATATAAGATGACAGTACATGTATCTTTCTAGTGAAATCCTAATCCTCTTGCCTCCACATATCTGATGAAAATAAATGAATTGGACCTACTTTTGAAATCAAATACTTTAATCCAAACATGTGTAATATTGTATCCCGGGCTATTTTGTTGGGCTATCTGTCTCCTTAAACACAGAAGTTCCTCAGCGGGTCCACAACACTTTATTCGGCGTCAAATATACAATTACATGATAGTACAGCAACGCACAGATAGCATCTCAGAGGGGATCATCAGTCCACCTGCTTTGCGTTGTATGAGGGTCGAGTCCCGTTGAAAACCAGAATTCTACATATATTCTCACTTACAGGCATCCTTGTATCGTGTGTACAGTACATGTATGGTCAGTCTGCAGTATCCAGCACCTCATCCACAACACATGGCTTTGCTGATGGCCATGATAATAATTGTCAAACTGCACTGTAAAGATTTAGATATACTACTGTTACTTAACTTAGTGAGTTTCGTTTTACGCCGCACTCAGCACTATTCCAGCTATATGGCGGCGGTCTGTAAATAATCGAGTCTGGACCAGACAATCCAGTGATCAACAGCATGAGCATCGATCTGCGCAATTGGGAACCGATGACATGTGTCACCCAAGTCAGCGAGTCTGACCACCCGATCCCGTTAGTCGCCTCTTAAGACAAGATTGGGTTACTGAAGATCAATTCTACCCCGGACCTTCACGGGTGACCTAACTCAGGAATATAAAACGTATCTATACTCCACTTTAAAACCTACATCCCGCCAAATTGCCAACGATAATTGTCAAAAACTCTGAGATTGATTTACTATACAGTGGTCTCTGTATAATCTGACATCTGAATTATTCCGACAATCTGTGTATTCCTACGTATTTTTGAGTCCCGGCAGCGTTCTTCTATATTATCATCATTTTAATATTGAATTCCACCTCCCTATTCCGTACTATCAGAATCCCGTGAGATGTGCGCATGCGCTGAAACATCAGTTCGTGTGAGTTGCTTCATCAGTCAACAACTTCATGAAAGTTCCTAGAAGTTTTATTTACACAGCCTGATAGAAGAAGCATTCGTCGCTCTAGTACCGCTGGACATTTACTGTTTGTGCCAGGATTGTTTCTGGAATTGTGTACGGACTCGAGGTGTGTGCGTGGGAAGAATACCCAGCACTTTTGTCAGAGACCGATACGGCCACGGGTCGTGGTCTGCCAAAATGGCGCATAATGAGGGGCAAGGAGCCAAGGGCCAACGTGCACCCGACACTGACAATATTTTTGACTTTGTGGAAAATCTCAGGGAGGTTACCACTAACCCACGGGACACTACCTCCACGGGAGGCAAGTCCAACCCAACGGAAGGTTTCCGGAGCGGAACTGAGGGGGTTAAGAAAAAAACATCAGTGAGAGGACCTGACCCCGAGGGGGAAAAACAGCCCCCCATTGATGCCATCTTGCGCTCGCTACTTGCTAGCCAGCCGGCTCAGTCGCACACCATGGCACAGATCGGCACAGCGTTGGCTAAATTAAGCAACAGTACGGAGAATACCGACAAAGACCGAGAATATGCGAGTGACGGCTCGATTCATCACAAACATGGCGGCGCCCATGAAACAGAGGAGGGTGAAGCATCCGATGAGGACGAAATGGACGAGTTGATTCACCGGTGTCTTGATCAAGGGAAGGAAAAGGACAACCATGATGAGACAGACGATTTCAATAGTCTCATGGAAGACATGGTTGACTTTTTCGGGGAAGAAGACGCAACTGGGCCTGAGATAAACAGTGACTTAGCAAAGTCCATCAACGACGGCCTGACTAAAAGCCCGAATATGGATAAACTTAAGCCAGTTATGGAAAAATACAAACGCCCGAAAAACCTTGACTACCTGATGGCACCTCGCGTAAATTCGGTCATTTGGCTTGAGGCGAGAGCCATGACCAGGTCAAAAGACATCAACCTGCAACGCATCCAAAGTCTACTTGACAAGGCTACTATTCCAGTAGTCCAGATGATGGATTCACTGATGTCGTCTGTCGTTCACAAGAAGGAACTTAATGCCAAAGAACTTCTGGGTAAGACCAAGGACGCAGTCAGGATGCTTGTTGGCCTGCACAGCGACATCAACACCACAAGACGAGAGACATTTAAGCCTGACTTTCGTGGGCCTTATAAACGGTTATGTTCAGGGGAAACTGTGGCTACAACAAACTTGTTTGGGGATGACCTCCCAAAGAACATAAAGGACATCACAGAAAGCAAGGAATTAAGCAACAAATTGCACAGCTCTGACAAAACCAACAGGGGTTTTACGGCCTCATCTTTTTCACGCGGAGCTCGCTATGGCCATGGACATGATGGAAGCAGATTCAGGCCTTATGATTCACAGTACAAAGGATATAAGAGAGGTGGATTTGCTAAAGGCAGAGGCCAGTCAGGTCAGGCAGGGACATATGGATCAACAAGTCGGCAAAACCAAGCACCTTTTTTAGGCAAGCGACCAACAGGGTCACCATGGAAAAAAGGGGACCATCGGAAACAGTAGAGCCATACGGTGACATGGAAATTGTTCAGGTGAGCCGCCTACTTGAGGGTATTGGAAATACACCTCAGAATTTTATGGCAGGTAAAGTTGGTTTGTGCTATGACAATTGGATGAATATTACATCAGACACATGGACACTAAAATGCATTCAGGGAGCGAGAATAGAATTAAAGCATCAACCATACCAGGTCCTCATACCTACCCCCTTTCGGCTTCATGATGAGTGGGAACAGGTAGATAAAGAAATATCCTGTTTGTTCGACAAAAGTGTGATAGAAAAATGTTCCCATGTTTCAGGGGAATATATATCTAACATTTTCTGCAGGAAGAAAAAAGACAATTCCCTGAGAATAATTTTGAACTTAAAAAGCTTGAATGAAGAGGTTGACTCATCACATTTCAAAATGGACACTTTCAAATCGGCGCTGTATCTGGTGCAGAGAGACTGTTTTTTTGCATCGGTAGATTTGAAAGATGCGTATTACTCTGTCCCAATACATATTCAAGACAGGAAATTTCTACGTTTTTCTGGAATAATGAGCTGTATCAATTTACCTGTTTACCAAATGGGTTAGCATCTGCCCCTAGGCTGTTCACTAAAGTTATGAAACCGGTATTTTCGAGCCTAAGGAAACAGGGGTTTGGTAACACTGCTTACATTGATGATTCCCTGTTGGTGGGGGAGACGGAAGACTTTTGCATGGAAAATGTGAAATGTACAGTTAACACCCTAGACAAATTAGGGTTTACTGTCCATCCTGAAAAATCTGTGTTACAGCCCAAAAAATCCATTACTTACCTGGGGTTTGTAATTGACAGTGAAAACATGACAGTAAATGTAACACAAGAAAAGAGAAAGAAAATTCAGAAAGCGTGCCAAGATTTACTGAAATCTAACATGTCTAAAACTGTCTCAATCAGAACTTTGGCTGCCGTTATTGGACAGTTAAATGCTAGTGGTCACGGGGTGATGTTTGCACCTTTGTACTATCGCCTAGATTTTTTCAGGGCGATAAAGCGATGGCCCGAATGAGCCACCATAAGAATGCATTGCATGAATTAGTTAAGGACACAGATTGTCAAATGAATTAAGTCTTGGATAATGAGCATAGTCAAGGCAGCATTTCACTTCCAAAAACAATGCTGGAATTTGGTATTGAATATAAAACTTTGACAATTTCACCTTCCAGTTTCATTGATTATGTTAAGTTTAACATGACAAACAGTGATTGTGAAGAAATTAATTCACTTTCTCAGGGTCAGTCAGATAATGAAAACTGGTTTAAGTATCGATGTGGACAACTGACTGCATCTGTCTTTCCAAATGTGTTAATTTACAGTAAAAAAAAGAGTAACAATTACATAGTAAAGCAAGTCATGTCTGAGTATAGAGGTCAATCTGCTGTTAGTAGTACTTGTGCATCTTCAAGATTAGCACCAGCATTGTATGGCAAAGAGCGTGAAGTCCTTGCCTGTCAATTGTATGTAAACAATGTTTATGTTCCAGGATTATTAGTAAATGAAAATATGCCTCATCTTGATGCCAGCCCTGATGATGTTGTACATTGTAAATGTTGTGGTAAGGGCCTTTTGGAAGTTAAATGTACTTACAAATACAAACATTGCAGTATTGGAAAAATTTGTTCTGAGAATTACAATGTGTATAAAAATGAAAATGGAGTGATAAAGCTGAATAGGTCTTCACCTTGGTTCAAGCAAATACAGTGCCAAATGGCAGTTGCAAATGTGCAGTGGTGTGATTTTGTTCTCCATGTTGAAGGTACCATAAAAACTGGAAAGCATTTGATATATATTGATAGGATTTTTTTTGGACCAAATGGAATGGAAAAAAGATTTTCAGAAAATAACCTCTTTCTATGAATTATTCATTGTCCCTAAAGTGTTGTCTTAAATTGATCTGCAGCTGTAGTCCTGAAAATTATTGATATATGAAATGTATGTGAGAAGTGTAAAAGGTTAGTAAGACATGCATATACAGATAGTCTCATCCCAGTGTCAATCGATATATAATATATCACCACAAGTCAATAAACATAACAAACTCAGAGTCTCGCCAAATACTGACTCGTATTAACTGTAATACTTACTGGCATACATAATAGTATGTCAATTGAGAAATAAGACATTATGGAACGTAAATTGAAATTTATTTCTGTACATTTGTTCAGCTAAAATTCATAATAGAACTTGGGATTTCAGTACCTATCACTATTACATCCATATCTAAAGCAAGTACATGTACATGAAAAAGTAATAATATGTACATGTATTACTTTTACTCCAGGTAATATGTACTGTACATTTGTTGTATATAGACTTATCAGTGATGATGATTTGACAAACAAAACAAATGTACTGTTAAGTTATTTAAATGGAGATAATTGTTATGTAAACAGTTTACAATCTTTCAAAGAAACAAGTTTCCTGTAAATACCAAGAGGTACTTAATGACAAACATCAAGGTTACATTTAGTAACAAATTCCCTACCTAGCATTACAATGTCTTTTCAATATTTGTCATATGTAACAAAGATGTAAGTGAGGGAATGGACCACAAACCCGGACTTAGACATCACAAACGTTGATGACGTAAAACGCAGAAACTATGACGTCATCTTTGAGGTTTAGCTTCCGGTGAAAGCACGGTGTGCATGGTTGGACTTCTGTTTGCTCACTAAGGTAAGTTTATTGAACGCACATAAACAATACCTTTATAAATTCGTTGCGAATTTCTTGATTTCTCAGAAGACTAATTATACAACTTCATATTTTAATCTAAATGTTAATTACACGACATTAATTTGTACTCAGAAATCACGTGTTTATACATAACGTAAAATACAATGATTGTAACGTAAAATACATTACATCATACAAGGGCTAAAGGATATATAATTGGAAGTTAATACCCTATGAATAGACAAATCAAACACAATTTAATGTTCATCAAAACATATTTCAAAACACATATAATTTGTATAAAGTTAAACATGTAAATTTATAGACATAAAAGTGTTTGTATAAATGTGTGGGTTAAGTTTAAAAGTAAACTTGATGTAAAACTACATTAAACATTTTAATCAAAAATATACAACACATACTTCTTGCGTTTATAAATATTGGTAAATATGCACATTTTAATGCGGTAATAATAAAAATCGAATTCACTTATATATCATTTGTATTTGCAGCATCTCAGATATGGCTAAAACTGCAGCTGAAAGGCAGAGACAATATCGAGAACGCAAAAAACGAAAAGAAGGTGCCGCATATTTGCAAAGGGAAACTAACAGAGTGAGGCAGTACTACAAGAAAACTGAAGATCTGAGCAGAAACGACAAAGCTAAGCGTCGTAGAAAGGTTTGGGAACAAGTCAGGGAACACAGGAGAGCAGTGAAGTTGAGAAGACTTGGTGAGAGAGAAGCTGTACCTGCAAGAAGCATTGAGTCAGTTCCAGGAGACACGAAGAACATGGTATCCAGCACAACTGAATGACCAACTACTTCTACTGCACCGATGTTGGTTCAACTTCCGTGTATGACATCATCGGGCAAGAAAAGCAGGAAAAGAATAAGACATGCAGTTTCCAGAGCTAACAGAAGAATTGCTCGTCTGAAACGTAAGAACCTGACACTGCAGAGAGGTATGAAACGAGTCAGCAAACGTTATGAACGTTTATTCCGTAAACACAAACAACATACATCAAAATCATCTGAATCTAGCCAGCAATCCACTTCCAATGAGACAACAACAGAAGACTCTGACACTATGACTCCAAAGCGGAAAACCGAAAAAGAACTACAGAACTTTAAATTTGCAACGCCAAGATCTAGAAAGGCAGTTGAAAGACGTTTACTTTTGGCTAATTGTTTGGAACATGAACTATCTGAGGCTAAGAAGCATAACACAAAGAAACATGTAAGAAGCCTGGTCAACATTGTTTCTGGAAAGGTTGTCAAGAAGTACAGAGGAGTCCACTACATTGCAAATAGAACAGGAATAAACAGGAGAACATTACTCACGGCATCATCTAAAGATGTCATGCATGTGCGCAAGATAAAGTGGAAGACTCGACTGGCTCTTCAGCAAGATTAGTTGCGTTCTATGAGAGAGATGACAACTCTCGTTATATGCCCGGGAAAAATGACTCGGTCGGAAAATCACAGCTTCAAAAAAAAGTCTTAAATGATTATCTGGCCAATCTATTCCTAAAGTTTAGGGATGAGTTCCCGAATGTGAAGCTGTCGCTATCGTCATTTTGCAAACTGAGACCTGCTCACGTTTTGCCAGTGTCATTTACAGCAAGGAACACCTGTCTTTGCAGTAAACATCAGAATATGGCCTTAAAGTTGAAATCTCTCAAGAGCTTTAATGTTGTTTCCACATCAAGCCCAGATGCTTTCATAAAGGCTCATACTCAGACAGAGATTGAGACGCAACTGTCCCAGATTCAACTTGATAAGGTGACCTATAAGACCTGGAAGAAGGTGACAGACAGCAGGGGCAAGTCGAAGATGAAGCTTGTGGATGAAGAAGTGGCCAAAGATGATTTTATCAGCAACTTTTTGAGTCAGTTCACACATTTCCGTGAACATGTGGCTCGTGTCCAAACACAATACGCTCAGCTTAGATTCTTGAAGGACAATTTGCCGGACTCTCATGTCATCATCCAAATGGATTTCGCCGAGAATTTTCTCTGTCAATGTCTTGACGAGATCCAGTCTGCTTACTGGAATGCCACGATGGTAACACTTCATCCAGCTGTTGTATACTTCAAGAACAATGGAGTCCTCAATCACAAATGCTTCATCTTCGTCTCTGATACTATGACCCATAGTTTTGTTGTCGTATACACCATTCTGCAGTCATTGCTTCTAGAAGTTAAAGAACTGGTTCCATCTCTGTCGTATGTTCATTACTGGACGGACTCGCCATCAAGCCAATATAGAAACAAGACAGATTTCAACTATGTCCTACAGCATCCTGAGGTGTTTGGTGTTCGGGCTTCGTGGCATTATTTTGAGTGTGGTCACGGTAAAGGGCCCTGCGACGGCCTTTGAGGTACCACAAAAGGAATGGCCGATCAGCCGTGAAACAAGGGAAATTCAACATACAAAGTGCCCACGACTTCTATGTATGGGCAACTGGGCAACCACGTTCTGTCGTGTGCATCTTCAGCAGCAAAGAAGACTGCGATTCCAATAAAAAGAGACTTGAACAGTGGGGTGTGAAGCCAGTTAA